GTGGGACTAGAACTCACAGTCTCCTGCTTTCTAGCCTGATGCCTTAACCACTAGACCAAACTGGCTTTCAGTTTGTTATTAGAAGCGTTATTGGGAATGTTTTGTTACTGGAAATGTTATTGGGATGGAGATTCAAATTTGACTTTTTTCTTATGAAAAATGGGTAATTATATTAACTGATTTTTGTTTTTAATATTATATTAATACTTCCTCTGGAAATGGAGTGACATATAAGTTGTGGTAGATAGATAGGCAGGCAGGCAGGCAGGCAGGCAGGAAGGATTCTGTGGGATAATACCTATTTAGAAATGGTGGGTAAAAGTGTTCAGACCTTTAGTTTTAGTTTTTGAAAGCTTGGGCTGAAAAAGGAGTTAAGGTCATATTATTAATGAGTTTATTGTTAATTATATTTTTATAACTTTGAGAAGTACAGAAAGAATATAATCTGCCTAAAGAGGCTAAATGGCAAGGTATTCAGTTGAAATATTTGTTATTTTCCCAATTTGGACCTGATGCTTTGATGGCCCCAGAAACCCTTACAATTCTGACTATTAGAAAAACTTTTTTCTTAGAAGTTAACCAACAATTGAGTAATATAAAAAATTGAAGAATCTTACTAAGATAAAAAAAGTAATTTTCAAGAAATATAGAGTAAAAGAATTGAGTCTCCAATTTTAACAAGTCAGTGTTCTCAACTTTTTAAAAAATGGTTAAATGTTAAATAATCTTTAGAGGAGAGTAATTCATCAAAACATTCTTCAAAAGGATGGGACAACTCAACAAATATTCAAAAAGTAGTGGTTATCTATTTTTCTAGATTGGATATGCAGTCAATCTGAAGACACATTAACAGATGCGTTTTAGACACGCCTCTGGTTGTTTCATAGCGGAATATTCTTAATATTGTTAGTTTAGCAAGGGAGTTAAGATTTAAAGATGCCTGTGTTTTGTTGAACTGTATTAAAAAAAAACGGGAATTTTATGAAGAACTTTGGATATATCATGGCTCAATTGTCAGAAAAAAATATTGTGAAGTTTTCTTGGGAAAGACATTAGTTTGCCAGATGCCAAAGGTGGTTTGAAGAAATGTGTGTACTCTCACCTTTGAATTGACTCTTTATTAGTACAATGTAAAGACTGGACAATACAATTCTGTGTTGTCATGGTTTAATTTGTTGTTTAAAACTGAGCTGTAATTCTTAATTATAATTGCTTGCTGTTTTTTTTTAAATTTAATTTACATTTTGTTTTGTTTTATACTTTGGTATTTTATATTTTGACTCACTTGACTGCAGCCTCCAAATTTAAAATAAAGATATGACATTTTGTAGCTACAGTGATGTTTCCATATACATATTCACACTAATGTTTGTTGCATTAAATATGTAAAGTAGAACTGTACATGAATTGAAAACTGTGTGTCATGGATATTTGGTTGGACCGTTCTAGGCAAGTCATGCTCTGGATGAACTTGCAAGTCATAATGTGATGAATTGAAATCTGGAACATTTTGGTTGTTCCTGGTTTTGTCTCTCTGGAATAACCTGT